CCTGTCACGCGGCAAACGCAAAACGCAGAGAAAGTCGATATCTCGAAGGTTGATGGGTGTCACCGGAAATGATGGGAGTCACCGCACGTTGATAGGTGTCTGTGAAATAGATTACTCCGCCGATTAGCCAAGCATGCCTGGAAGAGCTTATCGCGAATTTCTTATCAAGTGCGGTGGTGCACGTTATTGTCCGGTGACCGCCATCAGATTCGGCAGAGATCGACTGGAGGTCGCGGCCGAGTACAGGCTTGCTGCGTGTTTGAACTTTACCATGATTGATTGACGCTGAATCGCGCTGCGCTGTTCCGCTTAACCCATCTGCGTCTCTGTCTTCTCGACGGGCTCTGTCGGGGTAACGGCATTTTTCCCTTCGGTTTAATTTGTGGCTCTGACATGACTATTCGAGCTCTGTTGCACGACCTGACTAAACTATGATAATATCAAATTTACTTTCTGCATAAAGGGACCTGCGGATACCCGCCGATGTACCTCGTGAATGAAGACACGGTGTCTCTACCGGATCGTCGAACAGCTATTATTGAATTAATGTGAAGTAATTCAAAATGTACTGAGTACGTACTTTTCACTAATGTCTTCCTCGTTGTTTTTTAGTCTCCTTTCATATTTACGATTTCCTTCAAAGGCTACATTTCCTTTGTATCCGGAGGCTAATGTGTCTGTACTACAGATTTAGCACCGTACCATGCGCAGAAAAATAATCGGTAGTATCAAGATCGTGCGATATTGATTTTTTCAAGACTACAACCACCTGTATTATTGCTATTATGTGGAATCTGTGCGAAGACCTTAAGAAACAGTGTAAACCCTATTTCATGGCGCTATAGATTATTTTGTGCCTAACCTGGTTAGCTAGGACAGGAAGGGACTTTTACACTTCTCGCAGCGCTTATTTTTTTGCTGAAGAAATCTCAGATCCACTCCCAAATAGCGATGGGCCGGGGTTCCCGCAGGCGGAAAATGGGAAATCGCTCTCTGTCCTAGCGCATCATACTCTACGCCGTATGGCATGGTGTTAAGTCTGCATTTCAGACACACCTAGCTGCCAAATTCAAAGCCCATGCGTAAGAAGGGCTCATAGTCGGTGCTAACGTAGTTGAGGGGGGGGGGGCACGCGGCGGCGCTGGCGCTCTGTCGTCTGCGCTTCCAAGGCTTACTCCACGCTGCCCCTCTATTTCGAAGCTGCCTCGCGGAGGCGATGGTAACAGCTCCTCAGGACTAACAATAAGCCTTGGAGAGCGCAGACGAGCAGATGCCACGCCGCTGCGTGACCCCCCCCCCCTCAACTACGTTAGCACCCAGTCTTGCACAGGAAGCAACAGATGCCGTGCCACGCAAGAACCTACGAAGCATCCCGGAAATCGTTTAAATACAATGCTTTTTATAGTCCGAGGGATTACCCGGCTATACTCAATAGGTAATTTTGGGCTCTTCCCAGCCACGTTCATTATTCTCACGAGCAAAGTTCAACGATACTGACCTTTCCGAAAACACAAGTCATTCGAAGAACAAAGCGAGTGTCCGCTTCTCGTTCCGTGGGATATGCGCCCACTCATGGCAGCGTAAACAAATCAATTTTTCAAGGTATGCCTTCTATGAGAAAGTATTTTTTCGATATTTCGCCTTAGGACTAGTCAATAGTGAGATTTCAACGCAGCCCCTGCCAGTGTTCAGATTTCAATCAGTCTTTATTAATCTTGGTTCAGTACTTCTAGGCACTGCTGGTCCAACTGACGCATCGCACTAACATATTCCCCAGGACCGCACCTTACTCAGGCAAATATACGTTTGATACATCCTTCAAAATCACAGGGTTATTCGGCACAGCGTCCGTTGGCAAACTTAACTACGCTGCAAGCGGAGGTTTGAGTTTGAAGATGGGTGACAAGCAAAGGCGACTCGTGCGGCTTGCAAGTTCCGCCCACCGCGCACTCTCCACCCCCCACCCTTCGAAACACATCGAAAAGAAAATATAGAAACACACATGAAAAAGAAAATAGCGCTCAAACCCTCCACTTCTTCCATTTTTTAGGGCATACTCCAGATCGCACAAGAATAAGGAACCTATTTCACAGATTTTCTGCAATTTCAATCTTTTTTGAATCTTTGTGCTGATTAACACTTAGGCTCCTGTTTTTAGCCTCTTATACAACACCTTGGGCGGAAGTGGTGTAGTGGCAAATGGCGCTGCTTACCACGCGCGCAGTCCGGGGATCAAATCCTGGGTCGTGAGTCGCGGGCCAACCAAGCCTTCCATCCCTCCGGAATCGGTTATTCACTTGTCTGGGAGGATAAAAACACTGATTTTTAATCGGCTGGCCCCCGCAAGTCATTGTATGGGTCAAATGGCACTCCAACTGCACTACGATTCTGTATGGAAGTATTAGGTTGTCCCATAATTAGTGAATCACTTTACATTTATTGCTATAAATTCCAAGAAAAATCTTGAAGGCGTGAAACATGTTTTGCCAAGTAGTACCCACATTGTCCTACCTGAGCAATTAGCCCATTCACATGTTGCCTTCCGAGGCTTAAACTTCAATTTTTCTGGAATCTTTCCCCAAACACGATATGGAAATCGCCATGTTCCCTCTGGCTTCCCAGAGT